TATATATATATATATATATATATATATATATATATATATATATATATTAAAAATTAAATTTGAATTATTTGCAGATTCAGAATCTTCCAAACACTCGTGCTATTATTGATAATAATATTAGTTGGAAAACAATCCTATATTTTTACGTGCTTCAACATGGATATCACACGGTAACGCGGAGATAAATTGAAACTGACGTAGGTTTCGTAAAGCCTAAGCGTCGATTTATGTGTTTATCGCAATGTGTTTCAACGTGTATAGGGGCCTCAATAGCCTCTTGGATGACCGTGAGCAACGGTGTTACAAGCCCGTCATGACCCATTCTTTCTCTCTTTTTCTCTTACTTTTTCTTAATGATAACACCGGCGGGTGCCGGAGATATTCTCCTATATGTCTACTTAACTAGATGCTCGAATTACAATCGATGAGAAAATCACGTTCCTGCGAAATTGAAATTGAAATTATGAGAAAACTATGTACAAACGACTCGAGTAACGTTAGTGCTAGGGCACAATGTCGCCATGCATTATGCATTTTCCATATATATATTTATAGATTGATTCGGGTTGTTCTGCTGCTGATCGTTTCGTCGGTCGCACTTTCGCCGTGCGTTTTCACTTCTCGACTTTCAAGCAAATCGAAAGAAACCGATGTTTATTCCTTGATGCGATCAGCAGCAGTGTCCAAATTTCATGCCACCTTCTTTTTACTCGTCTTCTTGCTGCGGGGGAGGGTAGCGAAGCTTGTTATCTGGAAAAATAGAAACGAATCGTCGTGTTATCGCCTGTCCCGCCTGTGAGAGAATCGTTCGATTATAAAATGAAATTTCCTCGACGTTTCATCATTTCGATTTTTATGTATTTAAGCGTTTTAAAGTCACTAAGTTTAGAGATTTGATTACAGCAATACGTAACTCACACACCACACTGGTTTCAGGAAAAAAGGAAATTACTGCGATATATGAGGGTAGGATACAGTATTAGAATTTTTGTGTAGGAACTCCTCTTTTCTCTCGATCTCAGATTTCTTTTAATCTATTCGGAAGTAACATTTGCAAAAAATATTTCATAAGCAAATCGAAAGTTTAATACTCGAATCAAATACTTCTCCGGGGATGGATTTTATAGGATGAACAACTGGATGCACAAAAATTTGTGTTTCACGTGGTAGTGCGCTTCCTTCTCGAAGCAACAGTTAATAAATCGTACAGCCAGAGCCGTGTTAATCATCGAGTAACATGCATGTCGAACAATCCAGGAGGAATTAACACTCGTTAAGCGATTAGTGGTCCAACGAATCACCAGAAAACACTCCAAGAAACCATATTCATACGATCTGAACGAACGAATTAATCCGTTTCTTCTCTCCATCGGTTTCCAATACGACAAAGTGGATGAAAAGGACGGAGGAAGGATCGATGACATGGGTTTTAGTGAATCACGACGACGAGAACCAGTCAAAAAGACCCGTGTAACAATTTAACCTATATATATGATATATATATCGATCTTTCAGACGAAAACTTTCTAAAAAATATCCGACTCCAATCTTTTGCCAATTTTCGGCGACTGCGACATTTCTCTTATCTGCGACTCTACGCTCGTTGCCTCGGTATCTTTCTTCGTTTCCAACTTCTGCTTATCGTCGGCCAGCGCAAGCACGTAACTGCCAGAGCTGTTAGAGCTATCGTTCTCGCTCTTATCGTCACTCTGAGTGTTTATCTTCTGATTGGAGCTCGATAACATCGGCGCAAGTTCAACGATCGCCTCTTGCGATTCGATGCTGTTCGATCTGGACTTAGACGCGCTCACGTCCGAGCAAGAGTCTTCTCCTCTCTTCGGTTCCTTGGAGAACGCGCCGTGGAAGATGTTTTTCGGGATGGTCAACAGCTTCGAGAAACCTTCCTTGGTCCGCTGCCTCTTCGACTTCTTAGCCTTTGACTTGGCGTCGCTTGCGTGAGCGATAAACACGTCTTTCGTGACGCTGGTGTTCGAGAAGGTCTTTAGGGTTCCGGTTTTAATTACCAAAGTGGCTTTCAACGCGCTCTGAGCATCGGTCTCGTTCAAGTCCTCCTCGCTCTTCGTAAGAGGCACTTTCGGCGCTGGCTTCTTGTTGTACTTGCCAGCCCGGCCGTGACTGTCGGAGTTACTTCGCGACACGTTCGGAGTTGTCCAAACGTCCATGCAGCTGCCACTCTCTGGCGAAATTTCTTCGAAAACGGTTCCGTCAGTGAACGGTTCACTTTGTCGAATAATTTCGCTGTCAACAGTGTCTATATTCTGCGATGATATTTCTTTTTGAGACGACGTCTCGGCGATGGACGCGTCGCTACTTCTCAATCTCTCTTGCGTGTGAACGATGTTGTTAACAGCTTTATGAGCGTCGCTCAAAAGTTGCTTCAGTTCCTCGAATTTATTCTGACAGAGTTCGTCCGTCGCGGTACGAGTTGATTCCTCGGTCAATTTTTCCAAGGAAGCTTCGTCGCTTGTTACGCTTTCTGTGCTTGCGATATTATTTTTTATTCCCTCTTCAGTCTTCGCACTCTGTGTTTCCATACTCGTGTTAGTCTCTGTTGTTCCCTCAATCTTTGTACCTTGCGTTTCGAGTTGCTTCGTCTGTCCAACGTCGTTCGACTTTTCCGTCGTTAATAACGCCACAGGATCGGTTCTAGTCTCTACGCTCTGAATTATTTGAATCTCCGCGGCTAGCACGGGCTCTGAGCTCGAATTGTCGACTGTCTCTGTCGATTCTCTTTTCTCTAGTTCCGGGCCTGATTGACTGGTACTTTTAAGTAAATCATCGTTACCTGCCACAAGGGAGCCACGATCGAATTTGATATGATCAGCAATATTACTGTTTTGCGAGAGTAGAAGCAAGATCTCGAGAGCTTGCTCGGGAGTGACGAGATTCAAAGGTGTCGGAAATGAGACATTTTTGGAGGAAGGAGGGTCGACGCTGTCGGAATCCTCTCCCGAGTCCTTCAAATATCATAAAAATCGATGTATTATCAAATAAAGCACGTAAGAAATATGTTATAAGAAGGTAACAAGCGATTCTTAAAAAGATTGATAGAATGAATTCCTTTATTAATTCATTAAGGACCAAGGGATAGTCGAGTCTCTTAAAAGCTAAAATTTTTGACAGGATTAACTTGCAGGGGATCAACAAAATTTCTTTTGTGACTCCATGCAATATTTACGTTATATATATATATATATATATACATAAATTTTTGGAGATGAAAGCCATTATTTTTATGGAAAAAATATCAGTTCTCTAAAAATTGTTAATGTTCACTTTTCAAGAAAGAAATGATTTAATTTCATGAGTTTATTTATCATCAGAAGACAAGAAAATTTCAAGATAAAGTTAAAAAAAACAGTGTGTGTCACACTGCGGTAGTTCATGCAATTTTTATGCAGTTCATTGAATTCAAAGAACTAGAATTAATTTTTAAACTTTGGATCATTAGGAGAACCATTGACAATTAAGAGTTATTAAAATTATTTAATTTTAGAATTCTCATTATTAATCTTATTACTAATTGACTAAAAACCTAGTAAAATCTAATCTACTATTTCTCTAGTTCAATTTCTGTATGAGTCGTGAAATTATATAATAAAATTGCTTCATCCACGCGTAAGAAATTCGGATCAAAAACATATCGAGCGAATGATAGTCCTTGGTACTCCCTTGTCTGAGTCTGAAGATTCCCTTTCACACGGAAGGACAAAAAACGTAATCCGAGAAAAATGTGAGATTGAAACGTTGGTCCTTGATGAATTAATCAGGGTCGAACATCCGGCGCAGTCGGTCAAATTTAAAGCTTCATCTGCTGCTTACTTCGAGACGCTTTGTTCCAGTCTGTTTATCAACGTCGTTCGGAACAAGTTTCAGCAAAGTTTCAGTTGCAGAATGAAATTGGGACTCGAGTGCGCGGAATTAAACCTTGATTTATGTTCTTATACGGATTCGAGCGGTTGAATTTAGTACCTCTGGGGTCTTCTTCGTGGTGGAGCGAGGTTTTGCGCGTGTTCTTGCACCGACGCTCGATGTTCGAACTAACGAATCGCCTTGAGATGTACGGCTGGATTGTAGCGCTTCACCGCTGCTGTATCCGCTGGATATGTCGTCCGAGGACCTTATATTACTGCAACCAACGATTCATCTGATGCGTAAATATAGTAAATAATAGATGTTGCAAATGTTTAAATACGAAATTTCAACCCTCTACTGACCCGACGTGAGGTCTCGGGCACCCTGTCGATCTTCCATGTCTTTGCCGAGTGAGGAGATCCGTACAACTTAAATTATTTTCGTCAAAATAATTTAAGGCACCGTTTAAAAAGAAACGATAGACATACGTTCCACGTCGAATGCCTGACTACTGATCTTACATTGTACTTCAAATTCTTTTCTATAAAACTAACAGTTGTGACTTGTACTCCCCTTTGCTCCTTTAATAATAAGATTTGTAGATTCCATTAATGCAAGTTAAAACGGGAGTAATCTACTTTGTCACGTTCGTTGCAAACATGTGCAATGTTTGTGCATTTTTGGAAATTTGAAGAAATTCCCAACATTGTAATTCATGAAAATAGAAAAAACGCATAAACATTGAAACAGTAATAAATGAAGATCCGTTAGAAACGTTTTGGTAACTTAATTGGAGGTGTAGATTCTACTTCGAGCTTTATTAGCAGAGGGTTAAAATAATTATACTTAGGGAGGTAAGATACAAACGTTAAGCTAGCTGTTGGCTCCCTAGACCTCGGTTGTCTAACGTCAACGTCCACTTCGGAGAAATACATCTCTACTCGATTGCTGCTAGACTGGGTCCGGCGAGGACTGTATCCTCTTCTTCCCACATGCTCTCTTCGGCGAGGTTCCACTGTAAAACGTGCCAAAATTTCCATTTCCGAATGTTCATTCGAATCTTTTCCACGTTTCATTTGCAAAATTTATAATGCAACGTTTGGGAGTACAGTGGCCAGATCTGTTTATCAGAAAGAAATTTCAACGCATTCACTACTGTTGCATCGGTTTAATTGCTTATACCGAAGCTACGAAGAGGAATTTGAAATTGTTACCATTTCGTTCGTCAAAGTCCAGAATCTTGTGAAATTTCAAGATTTATAATTTCAGTTTCGTTACTGATAGAATTATTGTATAAAATTTAATTTATAATTTCTGAAATATTTAATTTATGTATTGGCAAATGAGGCCATTATGTTACAAAGTGTGTTACAAAGAGATTATCGTTTCCAATTAAAAGAGACATTAATATTTTGATAGCAACGAATGCGTTAATCAGACATCTGCCAATTGAATGTACTTATCTGAATCGCGAACGAAATATAATACCGTTCTCCTTAATTAAAATGTCCTGTCTATCATTTCGAAACTGAAGGATACTGAAGTTCCATCATCTTCTTCGTACCTTCTTCTGTTTCTCTTCGTTCAATTCATATATACCGGAGGCCAGTAAAAATAAAACACACGAAGAGCTTCAAACATGTTGACGCATTTTAAAAAAATGAAGACATTCCGTATAGGACATTTTAATTCAAACAACAATTGGCAAGAACTCTCGAGATGCACGTGCTATTTTATTTGTCTTGCAAAGCCTTCCCATAGAACGAAGATCTTTAACTTCAAGGAGTAATTTTTACGCTGTTCGCGCGAGAATTCGCAAAAATGATTAATGCCGTGATCGGCCAATAACCTTCCATGTCCGTCTCGTCGTGCATGTGCGGTGTGTTTCTATTCTCGTCCTCTTTCTCGCCGGTCAGGTCGCTCAGGCTGTAGCTCTTCTTTAAATGCTGCACCAGGCCACCGCCACCCTGAAAAACCAATCCTTCGTTTCTTTCAACCTGCACGGACAATTTGCGATTTTGCACCGCGTCGTTTGTTAAGGGCCAGTGCGCAGCAAGAAGAAAAGATCGAAAATTCATCGATTAGAGCGAAAAGGAAATATATTAAGTAACTTGAAAAAAAAAGATACCGTTCAAAATACTTTCCAACAGGAATGCAACATTTTTGCGATAAAAGCGTAAATAGTACATAGCATATAGCATATAGCATGTATTATATATAATAAATTTAAATATTGATAAACCCTGTCACTACGTATTCGATTACACGATAGTGAATAATTTAGTACGCATAATATATATATATATATATATATATATATATATATATATATATATATATATATCGTATATATATATATATATATATATATATATATATATATATATATATATATACTATATATTTATATATATATATATATATATATATATATATATATATATATATATACTATATATATATATATATATATATATATATATATATATATATATATATATATTCGGAACGAAGAATAAAACGAACGTACGTGTATGTTGCACAGGATGTTGAAAGCGAAGATGTTTGAGACTTTGAGAGCTTGTAGTATTCATCCAGAGAAGTAAAATTATTTTATTATTGTATAATAATTAATGCATTGATTCAATTATTATTAAGAATAGTTTTTATCGATCAACGAATCAACGCAATATTAATTCTTATTGCAAAAATGCAAAAATATAGAATATTTGACAGAGATTTTCTGTCTAAGTTGCCTTTATAAAGAAATTTTTGTTGTGACGTGCAATGATATGGGAGATATTGCAAGGTGTGATACTCCTTGCAATATTTAATACAGAAAACAATTTTCAAATTGTCTTTACGAAAATGTGAAACCTTTATTGTGAAAAATATACGTATAAAATAATATGATGTAAAATTTAATGAAAAAATGTAGGAAACAGTCAAAGAATATAGAAAACAATTTTTCAGGAAAGAGAAATGACGTTTCTTGTTTTCTCAGTAAACACTTATTTTATTTTAAACAATTATTCAAGGGAAAAGAAAAATCTGATTGATGTTCGTAAAAAAATATAAACTTGCACAAAAGGCTACAGTTTTCTTATCCCTTTTTCAGAGTAATTACTACAAGCCCTTAAACTCGTAGAGTTCTTCCTTTT